CTTTTTTAAACTATCTACTGCCACCTAGTAGAAATGTATTTATTGTTGTCCCTGTCTGTCAAATTGAAGAAGAAAATGTTCTGTAGCTAAAAACACAAATTTCACGTCCAGTGTCCAACAGAACTCTTGAACATTGACCATGACCTGGATGACTGAGAATCTTTATAGACATAATTCTACACTGCACGCTCGCTGATTTTGGGAAAAAAAAGGGACCTTTTAGAATGAGTAGTAAGACTAAGACTGTTGTGACAAACATATTAACAATAAATTTGACATTTTAGTCTCCTGATATAAGTTATTAGTCACTGCAAAGTTCAATGTGCTTGTCAGTGGACTAATAAAAGTATGCAAAACACTACATTTAAATATAGTAATTGTGTTTTCAATTTTTTTAAGCATTGCCCTGCAACAGTAGCTAAGAAAATTTGGATTTCAGATGTTTAAAAACAGAACTTTATTTTTCGCACAACCATACAAAAATTGCCATAATCACCAAGAAGCCCACATAGAATCACTACAGTCACTCAGCAAATTCTACAGAGCAACACAATGTTGTCTTTAGTAAGAAGAAAAAGAAAACAAACAAAAACAACAACAACAATAATAATACCTAAAAAAGTATAATAAAAATGTTGCGATGAATATCAGAGTTAACTGCTTGTAGTGTGTGTGTGTGTGTGCGCGCGCGCTCGCGTGTCTCTGTCTGTCTGTCTGTCTGTGTTCGGTTAGGAAGATGAAGGAACTGCCATCTGCAGATATGGTATCGTATGTCTTGGGTGCATTTACTGGAAGTTACAGTCCGAGCTCAATGACTCAACATTACTCCGCCTACGTCGTTTCCGTAGAAGTGCAACATACAGACTGGTGGTGGCGTCTTACTTTTATTTTCTCTTTCTACTTCTCTTGCCAAACCCGTGCATATCTCAAACATTTGTCATCCGGTTAAAACACGTGTGCTCTCACGTAGTATACTGAGCATTTGTGCTTAATATTTAGGGAGTCCAGACGCAGGACAATAGGAGCGGTAGGTCACTCACCAAGGAGACACTGTTGACTCGGCATGAACTTGATTGTGATGACAGGAAATAACACACAGTCCTGGCACAGTGCGCGTTAACAGGGAAGTGAAGGAGGCCTTACCCACTCTCTGCTGCTGCTCTTCACAGTTCCCACTGAAAGGTTTCCTGCTCCAAACTACACACACAAAACGTGGTGTTCCCCGGTCAAACCGCGGTTGTTGTCCTTCCTCAGACTGACGGAATAATTTTTCCAGTAAGTGATGGAGGAGGAGAAAGTTCACTAAGACTGGGCCTGTGGCGCACAGCTCACGAGCAGAAGAGGAAGAAGAGACGAGCCAACGGCGCTGATCAATGTTTTGAATCCTCCATTTGTCTGAAGGTGAGAGTGGGTTTGTACTGTGTTCTTTGCATGTTAGAAAATGCGAGCAACACTTCAAGTGTTGCCTTTTAAAGTGGAAGTTAAGAGAAAAGACAGAAGCGGGACCAGGAGTGAAAGAGATAGATAAGCATTTGTTTTGAACCGCTGGTTTTCCCCACACATCGAGATGCGGAGTTATGTAACGTTTACGGCACTTCTCATTGTCTTTTTGCTGTTCCTCAAAGTACACACTGTCGGCTGCCTTAACTGCGACTACTAATCCTACCAATAACATAATATTTTTTAGGCCGTTTAAAGCCGCGGTAAAACATAACCTTTGTCAATCATTTACACAACCATCTGAGGATTGTGTTTTTCTTTTATATCTTGTACGACAGGGTTAGCTGTTGACACTGTAGTCTGCCTGACAAGTGCTGGAGTTATGGGTGGCGTGAAACTTTCTGTTGGTGTCGTTTTATTTAATTTAATGTGAATACAGAGTGTAATACAAAGTCGTTTTACTGCATAATCCAGAGTTTTCCAAAAGACACATAAAGGGCCCAGAATATCTTTTTAAATATAGATTAAAAACACATGCTTTTATACATAGAGGGGATATTTTTTGTGCAACATTTTCAAACATTATTTATACATTTTTAACTTCTGTCTGTCTATTGAGAGTTGTGACCGGAAAAAAATATTTCTAAGTTAGTTTGTTTTGCTTGTAGTGTAGTGTACAGTACTGTGTACTTTTAATATTATATTATATTCTATTGTTAGCCTCACAACATTTGCCAAAATTATATTTTGGTTTATAGATATTGAAATATCTGGGCAACTCTACTATCCAAACACTGTTGATTCAGTGTGCCTTATACAATTTTACATTTGAACTTTAAGTTACAGTTAAAATAACTTAATAATTTTAAAATATGACTTTGGCAGTTATGCTACAGTGCGAAGGTAATGGTAATATTATTATTGTTATTATTGTTGTTGTAGGTCAAATTTCAAAAAGTGGGCGAGCCAAGCAGAAACCACACATGGATTAACATAATAGGGAATAATGTGAATGCACTTACTGAATGTGAGCTCTGAAGTGCATTCACACTGGTCCCACAGCCCGTTTCTTTTCCTGTTTGACGTTTGGCATAAATAAATTGAGCTGAAACATCTGTCGGGGAATCTCCTTGGAGACAGGCAGACAAACACTGAGACTCTTTTTTAGCTCTAACTTTAAGTGAGCAACAAACTAGAGCTGCTTTTTCCCCTCTCTACACAATCTCCTTACTACTGCAGTTTAGATAATCCAGAAATGTCTCAATTTAATAATTTGAGTCATTATCTCACTCATAAACTTATACCTAATGTTATGAGTATCTCCTTAAGAATGACCAAAACTTAGTCTGTGTAAACAGTCTTGACCTCATGTGAACTGAAGGCATTTTTCCTTGAAGGAAGGCTCCTTGGGACATCTATTTTTGTGTTCCAAAAAGGCCACAATTAGATTTATGTAGTGAGATTGCACCAATGATTTTGTTTACATTTGGTTTTCTCGAGGCTCCGCAGTTGTATAACATAATCTGTTTAAGGAATTATCTCATGATGTTTAAAAGGGAGGCTGAAAACCAATTCCTGGTGTTTTTGTTGGTAGTAAAAACTTTGATGTTGACATTTATTTTTTGTCAAGAGCTTTTTCCCCTTTCCTGAGCTCTGATTACCCTGTAATTAATTAGATTTAAAATTTGAATTTTTTCCAAGTGCTAGTTATTATTAAGTTTTAATTGATACCCATGACTCCATAATTTGCATAAAATAGACATTTATACCTATGACCCCTTTTAGAATATTATTATCATTGTAATTGTTGGTTTAAATATTTAAAAATTATAATTTACAATTATTCCATTGTTTATAACAACGTTTTGCTTTGAGAGTGCTGGTAGACAGGTTGAGAGAGGGTCAGTGAAGTTGTACTTTGTCTTTGTGGAATTACAGGAAGTATTTGAATAAGGTTTCCTGGGGGGAGCAGGGAGAAATCGCTGTTACAGTACCAGATTTTTAGGAGTGGCAGATAAGCAGTATGTGAATGTTGTGCAGGGCATGTAAAAGGCCAGTGGGATAGTAATTATGTGTGCCTGATGGGTTGAAGGGAGGTTGACATGTACCATTCTGATTATGGCGCTGGTGGACAGGTGAAGGTTTGCTATGAAGTGAAGAGGAATGAAGGTCAGCTGGTGCAAGACAGAATACCTGTGTAAATGAGAGTGAGGCGATACCTAGGGTCAACCATCCAGAGTAATGGACAGAGCACAGAAGAGGTGAAGAAAAGGGTGGAGGGCTGTGGGTCTGACATTAACAGCAGCTAAGCTTTAAGGTAAGATTTTTAGAACAGTAGTGAACCCTGTTATGATGAATGGTCTATAGACTGTGGATCTGTTTAATAGATAAAAGGTTGAGCTGGAGCGGAGAGTGAGATGAAGATGCTGAGATTTTCACTGGGAGAAAATCAGTGACGGAGAAGGTGGCTCGGTTTGGTGATAGTTAGAGAGGTGACGTTGAGATGTTTTGGATGTGCTAAAGAGAGACAGAGCGAATATATCGGACCAAAGATGTTGAAGATGGAGTTGCCAGCCAAGAGAAGAAGATGTGTGTGGATGTGGTGAAAGAGTACATGGAGATGGATGGTTCAAAAGCAGAGGAGACGGGGTGAGGCTGAGATGGATGTTGTTGTTGTTGTAGTTGTTTCTGTGATCACTCATCACTGATCACCCTAAGACATTATTCTAGCAGCTAAAACATGCAGATGCAACCGCCACATATTGTGAAGTAGAAGAAAGTGGTCTGAGTGATTTCCACTGTGATTGTTCCTGTAATGAGAGGAGAGCCTCTGTTTACTGCTCGACAGGGACCACTCACCATTTCTGCATCTCCAAGACTCGCAGTTTGTATTACAGAGACTCTGTGGTAATTTTATTGAACATTAATCTAATGCATTATATGAACCGGATTTCACTCAATGTACAAGAAAAAGTAGTTCATTCCACATTGCTTTTAAAACAATTACGTTCTTATTTTGCTCTTCTGTGGAGTGTAAAAGCCATCAGAAGTGTTATGTACTCAGTTACAGCTCTAGTGTCCACTCTTTACCATTATCACATCAAGTTGAGTTAAAGTTGAGTTGGTCATGCAATTGGTATTGATCTGTACGTGAATATGCATTTTCTAATCTGCGCATCTGCAGAGACCTAAACCGTAGTTTGGAGTATTAAAATATTTTGCAGTAACAAAATAGTCCAACATGAGACTATATCTGGTAAATAAAGCAGCCTCTGTTTACCTGCTTTGGTTTTCTGAACCATTGCTGTTTTTGTGTCGGTTGAAGTGAATCCCAGACATAACATAACTGCCTATCGGTCTTTCTTGTTTCACGTTAGTAGGAGGTTTTAAACACAATTGTGTACATTTCTGTTTCAGCTGCACAAGTATGACATTGTACAACATGTTTAGTTGCTCCACTCAGTTGATTGGAGCTTGTACAGAACATAAACTGTTCTAATAAGATTTCCTGACTATAACATTTTCTCATGTCTCTGCACGGCTGCAGAATGGCGCAAAATAATGACTACAGCAAACCAGGAATGTAACAACGGTTGACAACAGGATTTTTTTTAACACCTGTGTGTCACAATGCAGTTTTTGTTTTTCTATGAGTGTCCTGTTTAAAGGGGTGCTATCCAACCACGACCAATTTGTAATGCAATTTGTTGCTCCCATTGCTGTGTGCAACTTTGTTCTATCACTAGGAATAAACGTAATGCACATTGTGCTGCAGAGGTAAAACAAATGCTTCTCTTCAACTTGTGGTTTGTGCTCAAGTGTAACAAACACTTTCCCTGTTCACACCTGTCCTGAAATGTTCCTTGTTTGTAATTTGTTCATTTGTTATGAAAGAGGAAATGACAAAAGTGTAGAAAGAAACAGGGGCAGATGATCGACCGCTGATTTACCAGCTCTCATGCTCTTGTACTCATAATTGTATGTTTTATCCTGAAGGCTTGATCATTTCCATTCATTCATTTTCCACCACATATTGCTCTGAGAACATTTAAACCCTATACAGAAAGACTGGCCAGCGAACCAGTCCTCTTCTTGCTGTAAAGTCTAGACAAAGGTTTATTTTAAAAAACAAACAAAAAAACAAGCCGGAAATGGTTGAGTTTACAGTTGAGCCTGAAGGTACTGCAAGAATGAGTTACCAAAACATTATGTTGTAACGTCAGGACTCCTACTGTAAAACTGGTTTCCTTTCTTAAAGACTTTGTTACAGTCAATGGGGAGTTTTATTTTGCTCTTTTAGTGTGGATTAAGGTGGGATCTATAGTAGTAAAGTAGCTACTGTTGATGCCTTTGCCTATAGTTTAGTTCACATGCAACGAAACTGAAACGTATCCTGTTCCATGAAAGAGTTTATTCTTTTTACAGGAGGTTTGATGTGGATCTGCTGCTGCAGGTGACATAGTGTGGTCAGACTGGTTTCATTTGGCACCAGCCTTGAAATAAAAGTGTGCTTTGGATGGGCGAGGTGAACAAACAGAAAAAACTAATTAAGTCTAATTGCACAAAAGTAAACACAATTTCCCAAAATAAAATGTAATTTATAATCCGCCAGCACTGAGATGAGAGATGTTTATAATTCTAATGATCTTTGAATGGATATTGAACACTGTCAGTACAGTGTAGTCTGACACAAACACACTTTGACAGAGTCACTTTGATTTTTTGCAGTCCTGTTTGATCATGACTCAGTGGCAGCACATGTCCCACATAATCCAGATGAGCCTGTCGGATGAGGCCGTCAACAACCTGTATCCTCAGAACGCCTTCCCCATCGAAGTCAGACATTTCTTAGCTGAATGGATCGAGAACCAAAGATGGTAGACGCACACACACACGCACACACACAGACACCTACACATTGGTTGGTATGTTTTAATTTCCTTTTGTTTATGCATGCTTATGCTCACAGGGAGAACTTTGCGTTAGAAAACATGGAGGGAGAGAGCCAGGCACGGGTCCTGTTGGACCAGACTATCAGTCAGCTGCAGTCAATTTCCAAAGAAAATCCTAACGTGGTGGTGAGGATGAAGCTGAAGCAGATCAGCAAGGTCATGGTAAGAGGTCCACATCACTCAGAAAAAAACATAACAATATCAAATTGATAAGTAAATAATCAAAGCAAATCAGTCTTCTAGAATTAACAAAACAGTCATACAATCAAAAGTCAAATATGTTTTTTTTTCACTTCCTTGAAAGCAGTGTCAGAATCCAGTTCTTCCACTTCACTCATTTTCCCCTTCACTCTCATTGTTATTTTTTACTACGTTTTGCGATTGTCAGTCGTCCAAAGTGATGTGTACGTGCTTCACAGGCTGGGTTTCAGCGGGAGCCTCTACAGTTTGCAGTGTTAGTCCGGGACATACTCAGGAGGGAGAGGAGCCTTATCAACACAGTAAGATCATTTTTAACAAACAGTGATTAATATCCTATTGAGAATGATTACCTTAAGTCCTCCATGCACACAATTGTATTGTAGCTTTTGTGTGTCTGAAATGCAGAAACTTTTCAAATTTTCAAACACGTCAATGTCAACGTGGCCTCGTGCTGCGTTCTGTTTTGTCTTTGTCTCTTTTGTCACTGACACTGACACTTTAGCCTCAGCAGATGTCCAGCCCTCAGCAGTATCCATCGCAGTTTGAGACCAGAGAGTCTTCTTTCCCCAACACGCAGGACGTAGACCACCTGGTTTTGAAAGTACTGGAGGTCCAAGACATCCGGCAAAATATGCACCAAATACAGGAAGAACTCAACTGGGACAGACAGAACTTTGAGAGTTTACAAGGTAAAATGCAGAGATATTTAACTCTGTGTTACATTCGTGTACTAATTATTTCTTATTTCTCTTTTTACTGAGCTCACTTAAATGTGTATTTAGGGTTTTGGTTTTTATCAGGTAGGAAATGGAGATGCACCGATCGACCGCCCAGAGATCAAAATTAGTTTTCTTTTTTTTTTTTTCTTGATTTTTCACACATATTGTTGGTTTTGCAGTTAATCATTTTATGTATGCGTTCTATGGCGATGACACTTACAAGCTAACAAATTGGTAACTTGAAAGTACTTTTTCAGTACACTTACAGTGTAATATGCGTAGCAGTAAGATCATCCAATTTAATAATTAACAATCTTATTGTTTTTAGTGGAGGCCGGGAGCTGTTCATTTTTTGGGGAGTTTTTTTGTTGTTTTTTTTAGGAAATTCTACTAAATGTTATATAAAATTACATCTGACAATTGTTTTTGATCCGTTAAACAGTCTGATTGATAACAGTCTGGGGCCCAAAAAGTGTGATTTACTACAGAGTCTCATGAAAGAGAAAATTACATCACTACAAAATGGAGACTGGTCATAAATTAAAACCAGAAGTACCCTCTCATTTCCCCTTTAGCCAAAGTTGTTTTTCACCACAGAATTTCTTAATTACTCAGAGCAGGAAAAGCACTGTTTGATTAATTAAACAAACAGGGTGAGGCTGCATTCCACTTCCACGTCTTTGAATCACCCATTGTTTAAACGCAACCTTTTGGACACAAAAGAAAAAAGTACAATTAAAGCCCCTTCCCTTGGCAGTGGCACATTTTGATTCAGTCCTAAATGAGTTTGTTTGAAAACATTCAACAGTTCCATGACTGTCCCATATCAACCAAACTCTGGGGAAAGTTTTGATTTCTGTTTCAGTTAAAAAAAAAAAGCTTCATGGTTGATATTTCACTCCAGGTTTCACAGGTCCAGATTCACCAGTAGCTGTAGGTCTGGTATCTCCTCTCCAGATCTTGTAAATCAGACATTACGTCCAGATATTCTCTCCACTAGATATGGTTGCAAGATGATTGTCATTCCGACTGTGTGTAGGTGCAAGTTGTATTTCCTGGATTTTAATAAAAATGGTTTATCTCTATATATCCTCTCCATCTGCATGTAAGTCATGAAAGTCTCAGTCTGTTTGTTATGTTTTTTGAACAGGACAAATTCAACAGAATGGACTGGATCCCAGTCAACCAGAAATCCAGAAACTCCAAAACCACATCCAGCAGCTGGAATACAACTTGAATACAGGATCTATGGTGAGCTAACGCTGCTCGTCCTTTTCCCATTTACACCAAAATGTGGTTTGACATAATTCTGTCATCTTTATATCATTGTGCCAATTCTTCAAGTAGTTTTAGATCTTACAGATCATGACAAATATGAGGAATTGTATTTGTGTACTCTCAGATACCAAGTATCACATCAAAATATATCAGTAAAATCTTTTGACGTCGGCTGTTGCAGAAACGTTTACAGCTGCTGCAGGAATGTGTGGACTGCTTGGACCAGTGTCAGGTCAGACTGATCAACAGGCTGAAGGCCTGGCAGTGGGAGCAACACAAGGCCACCATTGGACACCCTTTTGACGAAAACCTCCACCCGCTGCAGACTTGGTAAATGCTCTTTCATCGTAGGCCTGTTGTATCTAACGCACAGACTCTGACTTCTTCCTCTGTGGATTCTTGCATAGCATTATATTTTAATAAGCTCAGCTTTTACAGCCTTCCCCTCAACAACAATGTTAAGCGTTCCATAGCACTCAGCCAGCTGAATAACTCAGTTAGATCTAAATACGATAAGATATGTAGTGAGAGCCATGATCAGATTTGGCAGAGTTGGAGAAGTTAGAACAGAAAGAGAAAAGAATGCAAAAGGGCGGTGGTATATTCAGTGGTAATATATTTAGCAACTACTCTATATCTTTACACTCTTCTGACAGGATCAATAAAACCAGAGCAACACATCATGTTGGTCGTGTCCCAGCAAGTCAGTGGTGATTCATAGATTTATGACTGCACTGCTACAGGGCAGAGAACAAATCGTTTGAGTAAACTTTTGCACAAAAGCTTAAATACCTAACATGGTAATAACAGAACTTATTATTATTATTATTATTATTATTTTAAGAATATTATCCATTCAACTTGATCATGATACCAGTGTAGTAGTAACAGTTTAAATTAATCAAATAATAAAAAGTAAACAAGTCACATAATAGAATAGAACCTCCCATATCTCAAAATAAAATAAAAATGAGAAAAATGTGCTCAGTCTTTTCCTCTAGGTTGACCACATTTGTTTAATCAAATCTAAAAAAGTTGTATTGAAGTTACTTGAAGTTCTTTCACAGTCATTTCTTCATAACACTAATAAGTATACATACAGTTTAAAAAGAGTGGAACTTAGTGATATATTATGCATTGAAAAGTTAAAGGCCAGAATATTTGTTTCTTTCACACACACTTCCTTATTCAGCTGGTTTCGGTGTGAACGCTCTTTCCAGCTCACTCTGCGTCTGCAAATATTTTCATCTTCATAGGTGTGAGCAGCTGCTTGGAGTGAATGGAAAACTAAGACAAGAGCTAATGTTGATGCCAAAACCAGTCCCAGAGCTTCTGGAACAGCTTGGCCAGCTTCTGCAGGTTCTGATCCAGGGGTAACTCAGTCTGATTGTTCTCATTATCATCTTTGTTTGTTTTATGTTAAAGACCTTTGTAATGAAAATAAATACATTTTCTCCCACATAAAATGGAGTCAAAACTACTTTGACACGCTAACCTCTTCTTCTTCGCTGTAACTGCTGTCTCCTGCAGGTCTCTTGTCGTGGAGAAGCAGCCGCCTCAGGTCATTAAAACCCAGTCAAAGTTCTCCACCACTGTGCGATATCTGCTGGGGGAGAAAGTTGCTCCAGGGAAACCCGTGGTGCTGAAGGCGCAGATCATTAATGAACTACAGGCCAGGAACCTGGGCAATGTACCTGGGTGAGTCATGTGTGTATTTATAGTACAACAAGTCAGACTGAGGTCACAGGGTCCCAGCCAGGTTGCCAGGTGGTCAGTGCATTAGCCAGTATACTTTTGTTGTTCAGAGCAAGGTCAAAACAGAACTTTTTTTTAATAGTCTTTTCTTTAAAATGAAGTGGAATATATATAAGTACTCAAAGTATGAATTGTTGTGTTTTCAACATTTCAGAAATAGCATTTTGTGTTTTTTGCAAAAGTATCTGTAGGTTTATTTAACGGTGTCCGCCATTTTGGATCACTGTGTTTCTACGTAAGCCTCTACTGGGTGAACCTGAAGGTCTTCTCTTACATTTTTAATATGAGTTGTGAGACGAAGAATATTCAGTGGACACATTGATATTTTCTTCTTCATATGGTTGAATTTTTCAATTGTTTTTTCATTCACTTATTTTAGCTTTGTTAAATTATGGAGTAACTCAAGTGAAAGATTGTGTCCTGCCCATTTTGTATATTTGCGGCTCCTTTTTTGTTTTTGTTCGGTTTGTCAGCCAACTTTTGTCTATGAATACATTTTAACTACTTTTAGCAGGTTTTGTTTGTTTTAGATTTGATTTTCTTCTTATCTCCAATTTGAAATTACAAATCAACTGTTTTTTATTGTGTTGCCAAAATGTTGCAACCTTATCTAAATCTTGATTCTGTTGCTGCACTCTCAATTGAAAGTGATGTAAAAACCTTTGGTAATATGAATCCATCAAATAAGCTAAACTCATCAATGCTTCCACCTACTGCGATACGAATACAAATTTTGTGGCACACATCCAGCATCTCTGATCAGTCTTAAACACAAACCAGATCTTCTCGAGGCCCTGATGTTGGACCACACAAATGTTTGTAACACGAATAATAGTATAATATCAATAATAGGATAAGAACTGTCTGTGCTATAGATGCCAAGCTAGGTATGAATACCATGCAGGCCTCACAGAGGTATCTAAAACAAAAGGTTTTATTAATGAATTGTGCATTTAAGGGCTACAAAAAGAGATTTTTTTTCCCAAGACTCTCTAGATGTAAGAGCAGTTCTTCAAATTCAGAATTTCTTCACTGCAGTAAAACCATTTGTATGGCAAGCTATTATTTGATGGTGTGGAGTGGATTAAAATGTACTGTCTGTATGCCTGATAGTAAATCCTGAGGAAACTATTTAGTGTTTAAAAGTGTTCTACACAGTCACCCTCCCACACACAGAGGAATGTTGGCAATCAGAGTTGTTTTTCCTGCAGTGATAATGTCGGGGAACTTATCAACAACACAGCCATTCTGGAGCACAACTCTGGCACCAAGAGCACATGTGCCACCTTCAGGAATATGGTATGTTGTAATCCTGATAAATGCGAGTTTCTAGGACTGTTTCACATGTTGTCAGCAGATGTCCTTCTTTTCTGCAGTCCATCAAGAAGATCAAAAGAGCAGACAGGAAGGGATCGGAGTCTGTGACGGAGGAGAAGTTTGCTCTTCTGTTCTCTGCAGAGATCACCATCACTGGCTGTGACACCCCCTACAGGATACAGGTAGAGCTCCTCTCATACTGTGTGACGGTCAAGATGCGACACTGTGCATTTTGACAGTCATCACAGATTCTAGTTAATTGTTAAACTGAACGCTGGGCGTTGTAGCAAACGGAAATGAAGTGAACTTTCTGTGTTGTTGTCTGCAGAGGATCTCACTGCCGTTGGTTGTAATTGTCCATGGAAGTCAAGACAACAACGCCCTGGCCACCATCATATGGGACTGTGCTTTTTCTGAACCTGTAGGCCTCAGTTTGATCTGATTTTTTTTTTTTTTTTATTGCCAGCTGTTGAAAATTGACGAGGACAATTTGCTTGAACCATTGTCTTCGTGAAGAATCGACCTTCGTGAAGGATATATATATACATATGTATATGTATATATATATGTATATACATATGTATATATATATATACATATGTATATTCATATATATATACATATACATATGTATATATATAT